TAATCGTTAACGTTATTATTAAGTTTATTATTATCATAATAATCATTAATATCATTATTATTAACATTTTTATTATAATTTTTGTCAATATTATCATTAAATTCGTTATTATTATAATAAATATCACTATTATCGTACTCATTATTATAATACATAATATCAGTGGCGTCAACATCATTATCATCATTATCAAGATCATCATTATTATCAACATAATCCTTACCGTAATTTTCTTATCATTATCTTTTTATTGTCGTCATTATTATCATTATCTACTTTATCATCATTATTATCATTATTACTATCATTTTTATTATAATCACCATTATCATCATCATTATTACCATCATTATCATCATTACCATCTTTATCATCATAATCATCATCATTACTATTATCATCATCATCATCATCATCATCATCATCATCATCATCATCATCATCATCATCATCATCGTCATCATCATCATCATCATCATCATCATCATCATCATCATCATCATCATCATCATCATCATCATCACCATCGTCATCATCATCATCATCATCATCATCATCATCATCATCATCATCATCATCATCATCATCATCATCACTATCATCATCATCATTATCAACATTTACATCATTTTTATTGCCATCAGTTTTATATACTTCATCATTATTCTCAGTACACTATTACAATCTTTCTTATCATTTTCATAAATATTGATATTATTATTATCATCATCATCAGTGTCATCATCGTCTTCATCAACATCATGATTATTATAATTTTCATTTTTATTTAACAGCATCGGTAGTATCATTATTATCACTATCTTTATTATTTTCATAATTGAAATCATTATCATTGACATCATTATCATCGTTATTATTTCAATTCACTTCATGATTATCAACGGTGTGTTTACCATAATTTTTATTGTCATCGTCCTGAATTTCATTTTCATCGTCATCATAATCATCATCATTAATATTACTATTATTGTTATCGTCATCACCAACACCATTATTATTCTTAGTTTTTTTAATTTTATTAGTTTTAACATTAATGTTTCTGTTATTATCATAATAATAATCATTATAATCATCATCATCATCATCATCATCATCATCATTATCATTAGCATTAACAGTAGCATTATCATTGTTATCATAATTATAATCATTATAATAATAATTATTATTATTATTATTATTGTTTTTA